CGCTCTGGAGTGGTTTCAGCAGTGTGTGTACTGGCAGTGGGATAACATTCCCCTGCTTATGAGGTGAGGATGAGGAAGAGAAGTGGGGAACAGAGCTGGAGGGTCCTAGTTTACTTTGTCTTCACTCAACAAGCAGTTATTCCTACACCAGGCAAGGTTAGTACACAGCTCAACCAGGTGGGGCCCTTGGCCTCCAGGAGCCTACTGTCTACTGGAAAGACTGACATACACATAAGACAGACATCTCCAGGGAAAAGCTCTCCAGGATGGCACTGGAGGGTAGCCATGCCAGCATCTCAGATGTCTGGGCCAGCAGGGAACCCAGCCCCACAACCAGCTGACTTCATCCCAGAAGTCCAGGAGCCCCAGCCTAAGGGGAGGCCCAGGAGCTCCTCACCTGAAGGTCCAGCTCTTCACAGCACAGCCATGGTCCCCAGAGGTCACCTCCATCTCCAACAGAAGGCTGAGTTGCCAGCCAAGTGTGAAAACCTTTCAAAGGCTTCCCCATAATCAGGGTCCACTCTTTAGGCTAGTACAAAGACCCCTCTTGGCTTGACCCCAGGTTGCCTCTCTTTTGTTCCGTTTACACACTGAGAATATTTTTTCAGGTGTCTGGGGGAAAAAGTTAAAAGGTCTGATATCAATCATTTTCACCATAATAAGAATGAACCCTGTGTCCTCACTCTGGAGAGAATTTGCATTTCAAGTCTTCAAGTGATTCCCTTATTTGAGGGAATTCCTGATATCAGTGAGCTGGTGGAAGGGATGTTTGAGGAAAAGGTCTTCCCAACCCAGATGGAACCAACTGTAGTGACGGCCACTATAGTGTGGGTCTAGGATGCCTGCCCTGAGCTAAAGTTTGAGCATCTCCACTACCAAGATGGCAGACCCCCTAGTCTCTGAGCTACAGAGCTGGCAAACCCAGCCCTTAGACCAAGAAGTAATGTGCACTGGGAACAGCCAGGATTTGGAGTTAGGAGACCTAGAATTCCATCAGTGAGAAATTCTCAGTGTTTTCTCCCAACTTTGTTGTCCTCATTTGTAAAATGGAGACACTGGTTGTCAGAGAGTTTTGCATGCAGGACCAAGGTGAGGTGCTCTACAGGCTCATGCCCCCACCCCCACCCTGGCTCTGATGCATGGGAAGGAAGTCCCCACACACAGGACCTCCAGCCCCAGGACAGCTAGCCTCATAATGGGTGCCATTCTAAACCATCAGTTGGTCCAAAGCCAACATGCCTTGGACTCATACAGTACCTTACAGTCAGGGTCACTCTCAGTTCCTCATTCTCTTGGACACTGTCATTTTTCTATAGGTTTTGGAGGGAAAGATAATATTCTCCACTGCTTTGGAATCTCATCCCCCTCCCTGTCTCCTTCCTTCTCCTTCCTCACCTCCATTCCTAGAAGAATGACTTTCTGGTTACTCTCCATGCCTGTGGCTGTTAGTCAAATGCTCTGATTAAGGTCAAAAGCCACTATTAAGCATAAAATGATGGGGACGGGGTGATGAAGGGGCCATGATAGGATCCAGAGACTCACAGAAGTCACTCCACAGAGTCCACAACCACAGCACTGCTATTTCATGGCATATTAAGTGTCTCCAGTCTAAAGGTGACAGGGACTGAACTTGACCCATGGGCTTTGGCATCAACTTCTTTGAGGAAGGTTCAGTGGTTCTGGGTGGTGGTGTCAGCCTCTGAGAGAGGTTCCAAGAAGAAAGCCGGGGATGGGTTGTATTGCAGAAGTGACCAGAATAAGGCCTGCAAGGCTGGTAAACCAACTGGTCAAGCATGATCAGAAACCAGGCCTTGGAAAAGCTAGATGTTTTCATGAGTTCTACACTCTACTTCCCTCTGCTTCTCTTTTGGGATCTCTTAATATAATCAACACAGTTCACCTCTGTTGCAATATGGGGAAGCCAAGAAAAGTATATTGATTCAAGCATGGGCAAAATCTCTGGAGAAATGAGCAGCATATTCCAGAAGAATAAGGAATCAGAATGTGAGACCCCACAAAGGGAATGAAACCCCTGGGATGACTTGGGAGGCCAGTGGACCAGCTCCCCTCCTTCCCACCCTGAGCTCTTTCTGCTGACCACCCCACCTCTTGAGTCCAGCTTTCAGAGCATCTCCAACCTATGTTCTCATTGCCCACTCCCATCTAGCCTAAATCCATGCTGGGTGGTGCACACTGTCAGGGCTTTCTGTGTGTCTCAGTGGGGGCAAAAATTAGAGTGTCGCAGTATTTCATCTTCTGGCCTCCAAAGAAAAGTCTGTCAACCAAATCCTTCCACTCTTCCCAAAGTGAACATTTCATTCACACCATATCACACCTTCAAGATCATTTTCAATTTGTCTATGTGCTGCCGAAGCGAGCACAAGATCATTTTCAATTTGGTAAGTAAAGTCTCAATTAGACAATGCTACATTAAGAATTATCTTTTTCTTGGGGCACCTGGGTGGCTCAGTCGGTTAAGTGTCCAACTTCGGCTCAGGTCATGATCTTGCGGTTTGTGAGTTCAAGCCCCATGTCAGGCTCTGTGCTGACAGCTCAGAGCCTGGAGCCTGCTTCGGACTCTGTGTCTCCCTCTCTGTGCCCCTCCCCTGCTCATGCTCTGTGTCTCTCTGTCTCTCAATAATAAATAAACGTTTAAAAAAAAATTTTTTTTAAGAATTTTTTTCTTCATTATGCCCTGTTCAATCTCCAGAGCCTCCACCAAAAACTATATATATGGGGTGCCTGGGTGGCTCAGGCAGTTAAGCACCCAACCCTTGATTTCAGCTCATGATTTTGCAGGTTTTGGGATCAAGCCCCATGTCACGCTCTGTGCTGACAACTTGGAGCCTGCTTGGGATTCTCTCTCTCCCTCTCTCTCTCTCTCTCTGCCCTTCCCCCACTCATGCTGTCTCTCTCTCTCTCTCTCTCTCTCTCTCTCTCAAAAATAAAGAAATAAACTTTAAAAATATTTTTTTCTTCCTAAAATCCACCTCATATTTTCCATCTAGTATTTGCTACAAAAAAATTTAGTAGCTAATGTGCCATCTAATTTTTTTTTCCAGGACAATGCACTGGCAGGAAATTTTTTTCCTTTTTTTTTTGGTCCAGAATCACAGAATCAGCCCAACTTAATTGGTTTGTCACTAATTACTTTTTTTCCTAAAAGGATATTTTTTTCTTTCATCTCTTCACTTACCTCCTACGAATAAGCTTTCAAGTGACATATCCTCTTTTCAACCCAGACACACAACTTAGAAGTTGTGGAAGCCATTTACAAGTGAAGTCACCCTCTTCTGTCTGGGAAGGGACCAGCTGCTCCAGGTTTCATTCTGGCTTCACGGTGAAAGGCCCCCATCCCGTCCCCTTCCTACATCTCCTGATGAGCATCAAAACTTCGGGGACTCCCGAGGAGATGCACGCAGCACAGTGTGCCCAGCGTGGTTGGGTTACCATTTCAGCTTATTAACTTGCCTGACTACTGCTTGGGAGATCAAGAAACAAAGGGACTGAAAGCATATTCATCATCCTCATTGAGCCGTGGGATGAAATGCTTATTTTGGGAAGTAATGGTTCCAGGTAGGAGGGAAGTGAGAAAGGAATGTTTTATTACACACCTTCTAAAATGTGAGCACTTAATGCTCTCACATTATCATCTATTATTACAGTTCTATAAAAGCCATTTCTAGGAACCAATCCCAAAGTTTTGAAGCCTTCCCAAAAGAACTGGAAGGCAGAATTTAGAAGAAGGCCCTCTAAATAGAAAAATTGTACTTTTGATTCTACACATTAAGGCTTACTATGGTGGTATCCACACCCAAAACTCAATCCACCTTAGGAAATAAGGCCGTGACAGGGAATTTGTGTCCCGTGACTTCCAAAGAAGGTAACTTTTTTATAAAGGAGAGAAGATGGGTACGGATTCCCTGTTTTTCAGAGGGAGAAAACTGAGGCCCGGAAAGTTTCAGTGAAATTACTCTAAGTGAAAGTGAGCAAGTCGTGCTGGTGCTGGAAAGAAAAATCCTCCTGTTTTGATTTCCTGTTCCACCATTTCTCCACTCCATGCCTGTCTGGTTCGGGGAGCATCTCCACCCAGCCCCGCTCAACCTCTGGTATTTCTGCTCCCTTGTTGCAATCTGGGTTTTCATTCGAGAGAGAGCATTCACTTGCCGCATAGTTTGCTGATCACCCTGGCACAGAAAACACTGAGAGGCTTTTGACTCCCGTTCTCCCACTAATGATCAAGACCTACAGACAAAAGAGTCAAGTGAAATTGATGGGGAGCTCCAAGGCCCTTACAGGGATCCCTGTGCCCAAGGAAAAGCATTCAACCTATCTTCACAATGTTCACACAAGCTTCAAAATGTCACCTAAGTGAGGTAAATTTCACACAAGCTTCAAAATGTCACCTAAGTGAGGTAAATTTCACACAAGCTTCGAAATGTCACCTAAATAAGGTAAAGCCAGTGGAGCTAGTCCAGAAATCCACTGTGGGTGGTGACGATGCTTTCACACATGTGTGGACCTTGGCAACTACAAGCATTTTACATACTCTTCCTCATGCTGATGTCATAAAAAGCCCGCCCCTGAGTGCAGAACTCTCTGAGAGGACTCCCAGGGCAACAGTTCTCAAACTCAAATGTGCACAGAAATCACGTAGGGATTTGTTAAATTCAGATACTGATTCAGTGGGTCTGGGGCTCTGCATTTCTAAAAGTCCCCAGGCAATGCCAATCCTCCTGCTCCCAGGACCCCACTTTGAAGAGCAAAACCCTAAAGCACAGTTTGATAAACTACAGCTCTAAGGGTTGAAAGGGCAATAGCAATGAATAGCTCACCCACGATGGGGCTGAAATGAAATATTAACCCATTAAAGACATTTCCTATATTACTCTATTATCGACAGTGTTTTACTGACAGCTGGCAGGATTACAAGTGTGGACTGCGCAGGCAAGAAAGCCCCTGAAGGAGCCCAGGAAAGGAGTGAAACAAGGTCTACTCACGAGAGAAGCGGGCAAGTGGTCTGGCAGGCTTGTCTCCAGCTTCATTTGCGACTGAAAAAGAAAAGCAGACAATGCAATAAAAGCAAGGCACATATGTCCACAGAATATGCCCAACCTACAGCTAATCCTTTGGGGGATTTCACATTAAACTATGTTTGAGGATCTTTGTAAGAAAATAAAAGCAACTTCACTCTGTCTATATTCACTCTGCCTATATTCTCTGTCTATATTTCCATTGCTGCTCTCAATGTCTAAATGAGGACAGATGTCTTCATCATTTTGATTAAGTGCATTTGAATAAAGCTGGAGAGGACCTAAGCAATTTGTAATTTCCTATGCCTCGAGGTGGAAAGTGGCTTGCACCCACACATTAAGAGGCATGAATGTCTGACTTCCAAACCTGTGTACGTCCTTCTGGTTCAAGCTTCCGCTTATCAGGCTGTCTTAAAACACATAAATGCACCCCAACCACTTAACATAAAACCACTATGCTCAGATGGATAGGGCCAAAGCCAAGACAGGATTTCAGAAGGTAACAACAGGGTTAGTTTTTATTAAGATATTTAACTTTAGACACTAACAAACAAGGGAGTTCAAAAAGAGGGGATCAAGAAAATTCTTCAGAGAACTGCTCTAGAAAACCTTACCCTTAAAGCTTCTCAGCAGGACACTTTACCCTCCTCTGATAAGCGTCTAAATAATTTGTCATGTGGACAGAGTCATAATTAATATCCCCTATATTTATGAACACCACCTTTGTGAACAAAAATGAGATCAATCATTAAGTGGAAACACAAGTTTCATTCACTTTAAATATCACTTTTAATGCCCATAAGGATTATAGCTTGCTTATTTTATATATTCATAGTAAACGGGCACGATAGTTGTGGTCAACTTGAACAGAACACCCAAAGCAATCAACTGGAAAAACTTGTTCATTTCAGCTTAGAAAAAAACACTCACTAGACAAGCAGAATAAAAGGGGTGCTAAAGTAATCATTAATGTATGCAAAGTTGCAGCAGCGGGACAAAAGAAATAACTACTTCATAAACATTACATCAATTTTGCAAAGCATGGAAGGAGTGAAAAAATTCTTTTCACCCTCTCACAAAGGTAAAGATTTCACAATTCACTACACGTGGACAGATTTTTAAAGTTCATGGATCCAAACTCAGTCTACTTTCCTGTCATTTGCATGGCCCATTGTCTTCACTCTCTTTGTGGATGACAAACAAGATGTTATTAAAAAAACAACGCGGGAAGGGGGGGTGTGACATTACCTGCCTCCGTTACCTCCCACACCCCAGCATTTCCAAAAGGAAGAGGTTAAGAGAAGCAGAGAGGAGCAAGCCCTCCTTAGGTACTGACATGAGTTTCCCTGGCCTTGAGTTCAAACTGTTTCCTCTCCAGAGATCCTTCTTTAAAGAAACAAAGCAAGGGTTTCTTCCCCCAAAATATTTGCTGCAGAAACTGATGGGCTACTTTTAAAGTAGAAAAACAAAAACCACTTCCATTGCTGTGAACACCAGCAGCCACGAAAATGTTCAGCTTGGAGAGTGAGCATCTTCCCTGTGGGAAGGAAGAGGAGCAGTGACAATACTGTCACCATTTTACACTGCAGCAATGGCTGTTTCCTCACTCCAGGGCTTTTACCTCCTCTCCCCACCACCCTTTCCAAGGATGGGAATTGCTGACCCAGATCCAAGTCAGACCAGGAGAGGCAGGAATCGAGATCTAGGCCAGTGGAGTACCAAGAGACTTGTTTCTACCCAGAAGGAATCTGAACCATGCCAGCAGGATTATTTTCCTAAACATAGACCCGGTGCCACACTCCCTTACTTAAAGGTCTCCAGCGATGTCCCAACAATTACAAGACACAATCCAGCTAACCTGACCTGGTCATCGAACACCTGGCCTCACCTATTCTTCTCAGCTCACTCTATTTGCCAGAGCATCCTTCAGTCACATACTCTGAAAATTCCTAAACACGCCCTACACACACCCTCCCTCCCCAGGACACCCCTCCCCACTGCCTCACCTGCCAAGTCACACTCATCCTGCAAGATTCAGGTGGAGACATTCATTTCTGAAAAGCTTCCCTGACGCTCATCACAGCTTCTCCATCCCATTGATCTCTGCATACACCCAACTCCCTTCCCAGACAGTAGTTAGCAAACTTTAGCAGACATCAGAGCAAGTAGGAAGGTTGGTTAGAATAGACTGCAGGGTTTGTTAAAGTAAAAATTCTGACTCAGTGAGAATCTGCATTTCTAACAAGTTCCCAGGTGATACTGAGGAGCTGGCCTGGGGACCATATTTTGAGAAAAGCTCCTCTCAACTACAACCTACCCTACCCAAGACAAGGATCATAACTTTGCACCTTTGTATTTTCAGTCTTCTGAACACAGAGTGAGCGCCACACAGAATAACACATAGGGTCAGTGTTTTCAGAACTAAATCAAGTAGGGGCGCCTGGGTGGCTCAGTCAGTTAAGTGTCAGACTTCAGCTCAGGTCATGATCTCATCATTTGTGAATTCGAGCCCCACGTCAGGCTCTGCACTGACAGCTCAGAGCCTGGAGCCTGCTTCAGATTCTGTTGTGTCCTTCTCTCTCTGCCCCTCCCCTGCTCACACACTCTCTCTCTCTCTGCCTCTCTCTGTCTCTCTCTCTTTCTCTCTCTCTCTCTCAAAAATAAATAAACATTAAAAAAAAAAAAAAACTAAATCAAGTAGACCGAATCCATACCACTGCCACAGATGGCTTAGTAGACCAGAAACCTAAGACTGGCTTCCAGAGGATAATAAAAAGGCCCAGGTGTGTTGTTTGGCCCCACAATGTTTTAAATTTTTAAACAATCATCTACATTTAAAAATCAAGAGATTTCAAATACAAAATTTAGATTGTAGGCTTCTCTGAATAACTGAGCGGCTGTCCAGTCCACCGGCCAGTAATGGCTCACCGCTGGGACGCCCGCTATGGGTGGTTCTGTCTCCTGCATGCTCAGGAGGCAGCTCTTTGCTGATCTGCATTGGGCTTTCTATATTCTCTGCATGGTCCACAAGGCAAATGAAAATAAAAGTTGTTTTGAATGAAACTAAAACTCAACTGAGACCAGCACTACAGAAAGTGGTTGTGGCCAAGCTCACTGAGCCCTTTGTCCCCAGCCCACAAACTGCCCAGGCAGCCTCCACAGACTGTTGGGACACACCTGGGCTTCTTGGCCAGTGGAAGAGTCCTCTGCTGTTTGCCTTTTATTTTTTTAAAAATATACAGCAAGCTTTAACAACAGACTAGATGTTCCATTTATCAGATGCAATTAGAGCTTGAATTTGGCAAAATCTCATAAAAATAATTATGTAGATTTAAGGAAACTTATCCATATCATACTGTTGGGCAAAACATACAGACCAGTACATATGATGCTGACTTGTATATCTAGGCTACGTGTCTATATGGGTACAGAGAAAGGAGTGGAAAGATGTGCACTAGATATATTAACAGTTATTTCTTCTGCATCCTAGCATTTGGGATGACTTTTAACCTATTTTATACTTTTCTGCATAAACCTAACAGTTTATGATAATCATGGACCATGTTTATAATCAGGAAAACTGTTCTTATTAAAGGGGTAGGAACAAGGTGTCTATTATTTGATACACATTAAAATTTTAGATATTGTGTGTGTATGTCTATTTATCTATTTATATAAATTACATTTTAGATTCAGATTCCGGAGGAGTTTGGGATCACAGAATCCAGGGGACTTTCCATCTCTAGTCCCAGACGATTCCCTATAAAGAGTCCAGAAACGAATCTCCCATCTGCTCTCCAAGGAGTTCCACACTTTCTAAATCAGGGATTTGCAACCCTTGTCGCACATTAGAATTGCCCAGGGAATTTGGGGGTGGGGGGAGGGCACCTGAGTGGCTCAGTCAGTTAGGCATCTGGCTCTTGGTTTCGGCTCAGATGGTGATTTCACAGTTTCAGGGTTCGAGTCCCACTTTGAGCTCCACACTGGCAGCACAGAGCCTGCTTGGGATTCTCTCTCTCCTTCTCTCTCTCTCTATACCACCCCGCCGTGCTGTCTCTGTCTCTGTCAAAATAAATAAGCTAAAAAATGAAAATTAAAAAAAAGAACTACCTAGGGAACTTTTAAAAATCCTGATGTCTAGGCCATACCCCAGACCAATTAAACAGAGCCTTGGGGATGGGACCCAAGCATGGATACCTGTTAAGCTCCCAGATGATTCCACTGAGCAACTGAGAAGTACTAATAAATGGTGTAACTTCATACACCTTTACCAAAGCAACCTTTAGGGAGGAAGGTGTGGCTCAAATTCCTTCAAAAAGTAATTACTGCCTTTCAGTTCTTCTTTTCAGGATGCTTTTGTTTTGTCATTAAAATCCTCAACAGAGACATACCTCTGCTTTAAGAAAAAAAGCAACTGTTAAGATTGCAAACATAACTATGGGGACCAATTAGTGAGCAACTCTTCACATTGCGAAGGTTTCTTATAGAAGGATTGCCTCCAACCTTCAACACATGCATACTGTGCACCAACCGTGAGCTTGGCACTGGGCTAGAGTCTGAGTGGACTGCAACAAGAGATTTCACTCTCAGCCTTCACATACAAATAAATTAGGGAAGCAAACTATGCCTTTCAATCTGGGTTTATCCCAGCCTGATGAGCTAAGCAATGGACTTTAACATCGTGATGATAATGATGATGACGATGATCCAGATTCCTTAGTCCCATCCCAGAAACACTGAATCAGAACCCCTGCAAGTGGGGACAGGAGTATGGATTTTAATCAATTGCCTCAAAAGCTATGTCTGTGGTATGTCTGTTGTGTGTCTGTTGCATATCCCCCTGCCTCCCCGCAAAAAAATGGCCAGAAGCAAATCTTAAAGGAAGGGTTTGCCACGGAGACCAGAGAGAGGGAGGCAAGTGAGACAGGAAGTTAACTCAGAACAATGAGTACCCCAACCCCAGGCAGTGAAGGTGGCACTGATGTCCCAGCTAAGCTACAAACAATCCAGCCCATGAG